CAGGTCTCGGGCCAGCAGCGGGAACGGCAGCGAGGAGGCCTGGGGGGCACTTCGGGCACCGCAACAGCAGGTATCCCAACAACCCCAAAGCCTATCGCGACAGCCATTTATTTCTCTTTCCCCTTTTCTTGTCCCTGCCTTTTGGGAGGGTGGGGGAGGAACTCAAGTAGCTAGCAGTACTGTGAAGTTCCTAGACATTTCCCTTCCACTCTTTGTCTAAACTTTGAAACGTAGATGCAGTTGACTTTGCCCACAGCTTCATAGACCCCATCCCGTGGCTGCAGTGGATGTTTGCAGTGGCTCTCCAGTGACCAGAGGCATAGTGAGGCCCCAGGGAGGCTCTCTCTGTCTTGCAACAGTTATTTGTGATGTTTTTCTATGTGCCTATTGTCACAACAGAGTCCGGCAGCGTCTTCTCTTGAGGGAGCAATTTGGAGAAGAGCTGGAACCCAGACTCGCGCCCTGGATGCCATCCTTTATCATCCACAGCAATCCCATCTGGTTGGGAGCCCTGCCCCGGGTCTCACACTGCCCTTCCTCTACCCTAGGGAGCCTGAGACCCAGGGGTGGAAAGATCCAGCTTGGGGTGGGGGGTAGTGTACCAAAGCCGATCATGAAAGCATCTTAGCCTTGGAGATGACCTTAACCCTCCACCCCATTGTCTGCGACTTCGAGATAGCTCAGACTGCCTTCTGGCCTCCTCTAAGACACTCCCTTAACAGAGTGCACCCTGGGGAGGGTGGAGGGGGTTGGGGTATCATGCTTGAGTATGAGAGACATCTCATAGAAACCTCTCTCCTTGTTTGTCCACACTGTCTCGTTCTTTAGGCTGATTCTTGCTATTCCAAATTCTCTCCTACATGGATAGTCCTTCAGTTATTTTAACTCCCCTTCTCAGCGTCCCCCACTCCCATCTCTCCAAGTGAACTTGTTCACATGGGATTGTGTGTGTGCATGCAGAAGGTGGGGGTGGACATCTCCCTTACTTCTAAGTACCTCCTTTCCCCCCAGCTTCGAGAACTGTGCCCAGGAGTGAACAACCAGCCCTACCTCTGTGAGAGTGGTCACTGCTGCGGGGAGACTGGCTGCTGTACCTACTACTATGAACTCTGGTGTGAGTTTCCAAGAGGGCTGTTCTCAAGTCCCTCTGCCTGTCCTCCCTTGGACTTCAGAACTCCAGCCTTTGAGGACCTTTCTCCACATGGGAGAGAGCTGACACTTACCCCCTCACCTCCTGCAGGGTTCTGGCTCCTCTGGACGGTCCTCATCCTCTTTAGCTGCTGTTGTGCTTTCCGACACCGACGAGCTAAGCTCCGGCTGCAACAACAGCAGCGGCAGCGTGAGATCAACTTATTGGCCTACCATGGGGCATGCCACGGGGCTGGCCCTGTGCCTGCCAGTTCACTGCTTGACCTTCGTGAGTGACTTGAGGTTCTAGGCCCCCTACCTGTGGCCCCTCCCAAACCAAGTCCCCAAATCATCCCACATTCCCTTTTTCAGACATTGCAAAGCACCCTTTTCCTTAATACAAGAGACCATCACCCTAACCCTGGCCACTCTCAACCAACCATGCCATTCTCTCCCTTGCAGGCCTCCTCAGCGCCTTCAAACCCCCAGCCTATGAGGATGTAGTTCACCGCCCAGGCACACCGCCACCTCCTTATACTGTGGCCCCGGGCCGCCTCTTGACTGCTTCCAGAGACTGCACCTGCTGCTCCACGGCATCCAGCTGCCCTGCTCACTGCGAGGGAGCAGTTGTGGAAGGGGTTTCCTCCCACCAGAGTGCCCCCCCTCATCAGGAGAGTGAGCCTGGGGCAGGGGTGAGCCCTGCTGCCACACCCCCCTCGTGCCGCTCTCGCCGCCTGACTGGTGACTCGGGTATTGAGCTTTGCCCTTGTCCCGACCCCAGTGAGGGTGAGCCACTCAAGGAGGTGAGGGCTAGTGTCACCTTGCGGGAGCTGGAGGACCACTCCCCTTGTGCACTGCCCCCAGATTCTGTGCTCCACGTGTCTCCCATGGGGTTGGCTTCCAGTGATGGGGACACCCCTTAATTGGGAGATGGTGGGTGGATTACTTGCCCACCAGAAACAGCCCTGGTCCCAACTACTCAGTGCCCCTGGGCCCTCCTAGAATCTGTCTGAAAGGGCTGGGGAGCCCTGGAGAGAGGGGCAGTTATTTGGGGAACTGTGCTAGCTCTACCCCCAAACATACACAGGAGCCTTTGATCTCATTAAAGAGATGTGAACCAGCTGCTTGTGGATTTGGGTGGCCTAGAGCTCAGCTCACTGCACTGCCCTTGGCCCGAGGGGCATAGGTAATGGTGTTCATCTCACCTTCCCTGATGACAGTAGGCAGCCCCAGGACTTGAACTGAGCTGATACCTCAGGGGAGGCAAAGCAAGAGTTTGGTATTTTTTTTTTCCCAATTTATTTAGAAAAATAGATTCTGAATTCACTTTCACCCCTGGACTGTGTGGGATGACAGAAGACAACCTGAGTTGAACTGAGGAAGGTCTGAATCACTGGCGGCCGAGGGCTTGGGGCAGAAGTCGGAAACCTTGTCCCTTCTGGTTCAGAGTGGCATGAGTGGCCTGGCTCCCCTCCCCCTTTCAATAGTCTTCAGCCATGACCAGTAGGACAAGGCTGGTCCAGCCCTGGAAAGGGCGGCAGCCCATGCCGTGCCCATCCCGGTCACTATATTGCTCCCACAGGAAGCCAGTGGCCTGGTATTGCCGCCACACATTGCCTACCACATTGGCACGGAGCTCTCTGTGGAGTTTGGCAGCCCTGGCCTGGTGAGGACCCTCCAGGTGCCCATAGTGGTGGAGTGCTCCCAGGGCCAGGTAGTTGACATTGAGCCATACAGCACCCCTCCAGTAGGGAGGATCATGCTCCGAATTGCGCTGGCCATAAAAGGGGCTGGAGGCTGCAAGGGAACGTAAGCCAAAGGGGCTCCAGAGATGGCGGCTGTCTGCTATTATGTCCAGCAGGGGCCCGATGTGGGGTGAATTGGGTTCCAGCAGCCGCAGCAGCAAAGGGAAAAGGCTGACATAGCCCAGAGCATCCACATATTGCAAGTGAGGCTGGGGCCGCCCTACCACCCGAATCAGCCCCTGAGGCGGCTTAGGCTTCAGCTGTACTGCTTTTGTGTGGTTCCCAAAGTCTGCAAAGACCCCTAGCTCTGGGGCCCAGTGCAACTCATCCAGGCTCTCCTCTGCCTCCAGGGAGGCAGCTAGTGGTCTCAGAGAAGCAGCTGCCTCAGTCTCCCCCAGGTGCTCTGCCAACCGCGTCAACACCCGGGCACCCAGTGCCACCCAGCATCGAAGGTCCAGGTGCCGCTCATTGGCTGAAGGATGTGAGGCCCGGGGGTAGTCATCTAGCCCTGAGGGTAGTGTCTTCGGGTTCAGTAGGGTTGGCAAGGCTGGGTCTCGGCCCCGCCAACGGTAGGATAGTGGCACTGGCCCCGCCTGACTCTGATGGAGCCAGGAGAACCAGGCATGCAGGCGGGGAAAGGCCCTGTGGAGGAAGGCCAAGTCAGCAGGGTCACCATGCTCTAGCATGTGGGCTACTGGTAAAAGCAGAGTTGGGGGGTTGGCATGGGCTGCCCGTTGCACCAGGAATTCTGGAGGCACCCGGGCTCGGGCTTCATCTCCCAGGACTTGCTCCCGCCCAATCCAGCCATCAGCATTGAGCAGCCCCAGCCAGTGACCAAGGGCCTCTCGGGTGAGGCGGGGATCCCAGCGCTGGACAACCAGCTGGTGAAAGCCCTCATCCCAAAGGAAGCCTCGTGGAAAGAATGACCGGGAGGGCACTGCTGTGAAAAGAGGGACGGGTGGAAAGAGAGCTGGGTCCACCTTCTGCTCAGACCCTTCCACCCCCATGTCTGGCAGCACCAGACCCTGTCCATAGAAGTAGCCAATCCCACCAAGAAGGCCACTGAGGGCAGCCTGACCCAAAGCCTGCTCCCCAGGGCTCAGCCCCTTCTTCTTCAGCTGGAAGATCTTCTCAAAGCGCTCTCTGAAGGCTTCAGCATGGTTCTCCAGGGCCTGGGTCAGAAGGCTGCCGGCCAGCCGCTCCAGGGCTTGGTCTTCTCCTGCACGGGCACTGCCAGATTCAAACACCAGCTCCACGGAAAAGGGGGCTTTCAGTGTCACCTGCTGTATCAAGAATTGCCCTTGTCCCTGCCCTTGCCCACTTGGGCGTCTCTCCTCCCATTTCAGAGATCCTGGCAAGCCAAGATAGCGTTCAGGGGAGGCTCCTGGGGGCCGATGCTGAAACCAGCTATTTAGGCGACTCTTCACCATCTCTGTCAGCAAGGGCAGTCCCGGGTTAGAAGACCAGAAGACATTGTAGCTTGAAGAAAAGAATAAACATGAACTATTATTCAAGAGGTGGGGGAATTACAATGCTACAAGAGGTCATCAGGAATCGTCAGGGTAGGAGGTCTCAGCAATTCGGGGGACATGGGGGCTGGTAAAGAACAGAACTGGAAAGAAGACAGGATGAGGAGACAGGAATCGGGCTACATGGGCATGCATACCACCCCTGCCCCAGCCCGCTCTTCCCCAGTTACCTGCTGTACTTGGAGGCGCTGTCCCCTGGGCTGGTTGGTGGCAGAAGTGTGAGGCGGAAGTCACCAAGCTCACTGGTGTGCCCACTGATGGATTTCAATTGCCCCTTGGTCCCGACCTCTGGCAATAGGACTTCCTTGCCATCTGTCACCACATAGAAGAACAGGGAGACCAGAGGGAGGGCAGAGGTACCTGAAGCCTGGGTAACCAAGGTGGACAGAAAGAACAAAAACCAGCATTAGATTGGCATCTTGTCTTGAGAATCACCAGCCTCAGAGAGGAAAGGGAAGCAGGCAGGAGTATGGCGGTGGCACACATTGTAGTGCTGAGGGTCACTGCGGGGAAGCGAGCACACGGGGGAGAGGCCTTGACAGGGTTCTCTGGGAAACGTGACCACTTCTGCATTGCATTATGCAGTGGGAACACACCAGGGGTCACTTCACATGATTCTCACAGCCCTGGAGTTAGGTGCTATTATTATCTCCATTGTACAAAAAATCAAGGCCGAGAGATGGTAAATAGAGAAAGTCATGGGGCAGTGTTTAGGGCAGGATTCAAATCAGGCGGGCGGACTGACAGCCCCTTCCGCGGACCCCCCCTTCATTCCGCATTAGCTGGCGGCAAGGGAAGGATGGAAGGAGCCTGGCTGAGGAAAGGGTGCCCTGACCTGAGGCGCTACAGTCACTCTCCAGCTCCAGTCCCCTCCGTGCTGACCCCCAGGTCTCTTGACGAACTCAGTGGTGAGCCTTAAGGCCCCGTCTTGGATGTGCTGCCGCCCGAAGGAGAGACCGTCGTGGAACTCCCAGCCATAGGGTCCCACTCCGTCCCCCTGCTCACACGTGTGCCTGAGCTTAGGGGTCCCTGGGGTGGCACCCTGCTGCGCCCACATCAGTCCTGGGGGTAGAATGGCCACGTAAGTCAAAGAGAGAGCAGGGGGCCTGTCCCTCTGGTCTCCGAGAACTTGAGGGTCATCCCTCTCCGTAACAGTCCTGCTCCACTCCGCACCCCTGCCCTGGCGTGAAGCTAGGGCGCCCAGGTGCCTGCCCGCCCCGGGGCCCGGTTACCGGTGAGGAGGGGCTGCGGGCTGCGAGTCTTCATGCCGAAGTAGACGTGAGGGCGATAGGTGCCCCAGAAGAGGTCCGGGGCCACGGCCGGACTGGAGGAGTTAGGGGGCAGCGCAGGGGGCGCAGAATGCAGCGTGACCGCGCGCCGCGCACGGTACCACGTCAACGCCCAGCGCCCCGACAGGCCCAGGGCCAAAGCCAGGACCACGACCGCCAGGGCTGCTCCCCCGGCTGCGTGGCGGGAGCTCGGAGAGGGGGCAGGGGGATCCAAGTCTGGCGGCGACCTCCTACTGGCCGCACCTGTGGGCCCGCGCCTCCGGCTCTAAGCCCGCCTCCCGCCGGAAGTCCCGCCCCGCCACGTCAGGTTAAGTCCCCAAACCCGAACCCGCGTCACCCGCGTGGTGCTGCGCTTGTCAGCCTGCACTCCTGGGCGGGGCGCTGCTGTGTTTGCCCGGCGTCCTGACTTCGCAGGAGAGTAGAGAAGACCAATCTTACGGTAGACCTTTTTTTTTTTTTTTTTTTTTTAAATTATAAATGACTATATCTTAACCTGAGTTGGTATCCACCCCAATACTAGGTGGCAGAAAACCGTGGTCCGGGGAGTACAAGTAACGACCTGGGCAGCCAAGTTGCGGAGTGGCTAGCTTTGCACCCGGGCCATCTGAATCAAGCCGGATGACTTTGCCCATACCCGGTGCGTGGAAAGTACAGATGAACCCAAAAGGAAGCCTGGAGTCTCGTTCCAGATGTGTTTTTATGTACCCCTGTGACATCGCATAGTCACATTTCCATTCAGCCTAGAATTCCTTCTCTAGATAAATCCTAAAATGACCATAATGGTGATGCATGTACTTGTACAAGGCATTTCTCCGTTACAACTCACGAAGCAAAGGAACTCAGGGAAGGGATGGCTGATGTTCAGGTGTGAGAAGGCTGGAGGAAGCAGGTATCATCTGTATCTCAAGTTGACTTAGAAGAGTCAACATTAAATTCAAGGCAGTTCAGAAATGCAACTTAAAATATCTACTTCTCAACAACAGTTCAACATAAAGTATAAGACTATCCCACCCCTCCTATAAAAGGCAAATCCTACTGTGTCGTTACTCTTCTCACACCTGTCATCCAAATTTATTATATAAAACTTTTGGGAACCAGCAGTTAGCGTAATGGCTATGTCGCTGGATTCCCACGTAGTCGACCGCGGTTTGTGTCCCGGACCCGGTGGCTTAAAACTCACGCCGGGCGCGTGTGCGTGCGTGCCCAAGATCCTGAGAGGAGAATGGAGGAGAAGGGATTGCGGCGTGACCATCCCCCCTGGGGGGTGATTTCTTGCTTTCTGTCTCTATGTCTCTGTCTGTCTGGCGAGTGCACGCGCCCTACAGTGAAAATCTCTCAAAAAAAAAAAAAAAAAGAAAACTTTTATTGTAACACGCACCCTTAAATTTACTATAATCTGACTTCTGGCCCTTCTCTCCATGATGGAAAAGGAATTGCAGTGTGCCTACACCCTGCTGGGGAGTGCTTTCTCCCTTCTCTCTCTGGTCTCTCTTGCAAAAAAATAAATAAATTGTAGAGGAAAAAAAATTACCTTTTGAGCAAACTTGGTGTCAGTCCTGTTTCTTTCTTGCTGAAATTGTATTTGGTTGACATCTCTATTGCACTGACTTACCTAAATTTCATTATTAATCTTTGTATACCAGTACTGATCAGTCACAGCCACAAGGTAGATGCTAAATATTTATAAATTCAACAGTTTTACTGTATACTGCACCTCACTATGAAAGGTGTTGAGGACATAGAAAAAACAGCTTTAACCTCATGTTCACCATTGGGAAGCATAGTGCCAACACTCATGCATGTTGAGCCAGTCCCATTTTTACAGATGAGGGAAAAGCATTAAGGCAGGTCTAAGTGGCCAGCGGGTGGTGTGGAGCTTCGTAAGCCGCTGGATCCCACATGGTTGGCTATGTAGTTTGAGTCCCGGACTCTGTGGCTTAAACATCAAACTGGGCACATATGTGCACACACCCAAAATCCCAAGAGGAGATGAGAAGGGATTGCAGCATGGACTCCCCCCCCTCAGGGGGTGATTTCTTACTTTCCCTCTCTGAGTCTGTCCATCTCTGGAAAGCACATGTGCCCTACAGCAAAAACTAAAAATAAAACGGGCCTAAGGTAACAGTTAATCACAGAACTGGGGACTCTAACCCAGGTTGTCTTTGACTTTATTTATTTATTTATTTATTTAGCTATAGGGTGCATGCGCTTGCCAGACAGAGACAGACAGAGAGACAGAAAGCGAGAAATCACCACCCAGGGGGGATGGCCATGCCGCAATCCCTTCTCCTCCATTCTCCTCTTGGGATCTTGAGCATGCATGCACACGCGCCCGGCATGAGTTTAAGCCACTGGGTCTGGGACTCCAACCTCGGTTGACCATGTGTGTGGGAGGCTGCGCACCAGCAAGTCTGCAGAGGTTTCTCAGAGAGCAAACAATTACCATGATTGGTTCCCTTCCAAAAACCTGACCTTCGAAACCTTGCTCTGATTGGCCACTAGAATCCCTCAAATTTGCATATCTGGCACCTCATGATTGGTCCAAAAGCAACCAATCACAGCCCACTGCTTACAACCAATCATGGCCCACTGTTTACAACCCACCAGAGTGTATATAACCACGATGCCTGGCCCACAGTAGCCAGACGACACAGGCGACCAGGAAGATGACACAGAAGACCAGGAAGATGACTACTAAAGAGCCTAAAGAGCTGAAACACCGTGCAGTCTCCAGACGACCCCAAAGATCCTGAAGAGCTGACACTGCATCGTCTCCAGATGACCTGGAAGACCCTGAAGATCTGTAACACTGTGTCGTCTCCGTGCTGCTCACAGTAGACGATGTGACCCTGAAGAGCTGTGACACCGCGTCGTCTCCGTGCTGCTCACAGTAGACAACGCGACACTGCATTGTCTCTGTGCTGTACTGTGCTGCCCACAATAAACGGACGACATTGTCGTCTGTGTTGTAACACTACGCCGCTTGTCCCGGCTCTCACTCCTTCACTCAGGAAACCTGTTTGGCTGTTCCCCCGCGGGTCGGGACACCTGGCGCCCGAACAGGGACGGGACACATGTGGGAGTCCAGCGACATAGCCATTACACTAACTGCTGGTCCCTGTCTTTGACTTTAGAATAAGGCCTCTTAGATAATACTTGCTATGCTCCTGGTGACGTTGTAGGCACCTTACAGATATATTAACTCATTTAATCCTCTCAGTAGTCTCATGAGGTAGGTACTATTATCCTAATGGTATAAATGAGGAAACACACACTGATTCATTTATCTGTCCAGAATCACATAGCTACTTAAGGACAGCGCTGGGATCTCAATGCCAGGCAATCTGGCTCTTTACTACACTATATAAGAGGACTTCAAGAAGGTGGTGGAAAGGCCAGCAAGTTGCATGGTGGTTGGGGTGCTGGACTCCCATATGGCCAACCATTGTTCGAGTTCTAGACCTAGTGGCTTGCTTTCTCACTTACCCTTTGTCTCATTCTCTTGGCCAAATTAAAAAATCCTAAAAAAAAAAAAAATTTAAGTTGTGTAAAAATGGGATTAAAACATACATATATTTTGGTGAAAAGTTTTTTTTAAATCTATGTAGTTTTTTCATAATACACATTTTCTGGGGACTTTCTGAAAACAGCACTTCTTTAGGCTGGCAAGAGGGATAATAATACTGTGAGAGGGTCACGGGAAATGTATCTTGCTAAGAACACAAGAGCCAGTCTAGAGATCTTTGGCTTCTTAGCCGAACTTTCTAAAGTTCTCTGAAGCAGTGGCTTTCAACTATTTTTCCCCTATAATACACAGTAAGAAATAATTCTACTTTAACACAGTAAGTACACACAGTTATGTATGTTACACACACACAAATTACATACTTAAAACTAAAGTTTCCTAAAAAATACTTCTCATTCCATGTTCCATATATTCTGATACATTTTATTCTATTTTTTATAAAATAATTAACTTTATTTACTTATTTTGAATTTGACCAGAGAGGGCCAGAGTGAGAGAGTAAGGGAAAATGAGAAAGCAAGCTGCCAGGTCCAGGACTCAAACTGAAGTCGGCTATGTGGGAGTCCAGCATCCTTAACCACCATGCGACCTGCTGGCCCCCATTTTATTCTATTTTACTTTTTTCTCTTTAAGGCAACTTAACCCCTACATTTCATGAGCCACACTAATGAGTGTTGACCCAATATGAAAAACTCTACATTAGGCACATTTCCTGACACATGTAGTAGTGGGAGATAAAACCGGTCATGTGTTTTGAAAGGATAAAATTAACCAGCAGCAAAAATGAGTAGGAAAAAAAATGGGTGAGACAATGAAACCTTGGTACAGGAAAAGAAATGGGAATGGAGAGTTAATTCCAGGAGCTTTTTTTTTAGAGATTTTCACTGTAGGGCGCGTGCACTCGCCAGACAGACAGAGAGAGACATAGAGACAGAAAGCGAGAAATCACCCCCCCATGGGGGATGGTCACGCCGCAATCCCTTCTCCTCCATTCTCCTCTCGGGATCTTGGGCATGCACGCACACGCTCCCGGCGTGAGTTTTAAGCCACCGGGTCCGGGACACGAACCGCGGTTGACTATGTGGGAGTCCAGCGACATAGCCATTACGCTAACTGCTGGTTCCCAATTCCAGGAGCTTTTTTATAAACGTAGACTATTTTGAACTCACTGACTGGATGCAGGGAAAAGGGAGGCGCACAACCAGTTCTAACACTGTGATTTCTGTCTCAAAGCGCTGAGCAGATGAAGCGCCTTTGAGGAATGGAGAAGTCTGGGGAGCGAGGCAAATACATGTGTGAAATTACCCACTCTATTTTAGATCAAGAGCGTTCATAGGACTTGCAGGAAACTGGTAGTAGATAAACTACTGTCACACAGAAATTGGGATTAGAACCAAACAAATTTAATCCGGAGTTCAAGTTCGGATGCAATATCCCAGGAAGAATAACGAGAGAAGAAAAAGAACGAGAGCAGTACACCTTTATGGTTAAGAAAAGGACATAAAGGGAGAGGCAATCCACAAGAAGTACATTAAGAGCTGCAGAAAGAAAGATGAGGACAGAGCAAAGAGCACGCAGTCTGGTGTCAGTGTTCTTCTGCTCTGGATTTGGTAAATAAGAACACGAGGTACCATGTGTGAGGATGGAAGAAGCCAAATCGAAAAGCTTTAGACCACGAGAGATGACAAGTGAAATAAATTCAAGTTCATCCGTACTGTCCCCAATCTTGCCTTGCCATTGAAAAGACTGTAATCACGGGCCATCTTTCCCACCCGCTCCGTGGCCCTCCAGATAGTGATTTCAACGACTGAGCCAAGCTCTTCTTAGGGAGTGTCCTAGTCCAGGGTCGACTGGTTGGTCTCTTCCTCGCGGTCAGCGGCTCCCCGCCGCGCCCCTGGCCTGGATGTGGGAGGCGAAGGCGGTGAGCATTTCCAGAGCGGTGAGGTGGGCGCCGCGCAGCAGCAGGCGATGGCCGTCTCCTAGGGAAGAACAGAGGGCTCAGGCTCGCGGGCTGCCTGCCGCCCTCTCCCGCAGCCCCCCGTCTTTCCCGCGGCCCACCGAACAGCACGTCCACGCAGGGCTCGGAGCCGTCGTGCCGCACGTCCGCAATCACGGAGCAGTTGAGGTTGGTGGAGCGCACCTTCTCGCTGCTCACCGCCTGCAGGAAGGTCCTAGGGGGGAAGCGGCGTGAGCCTGGACCCGGCGCTGGAGCTCGCCTGGAGGACGGCGCGGCCCTCCCGCCCCCTCCCGCTCCTCCCCGTACCTCGTCGACTCCACGTTCTTCTCGAAGGGGCAGAACTGAACTCGAACCTGCTTGACCGAACGCAACCCGAGCCGAGCCAAGGCCGCCGCCATGATGACCCGCGTCCCGGAACCACTAGCCCGGGCGGAAGTGGAGAAGCTGCCAGTGGCTGCGCGTCGGCCGCAGGTCCCCGGCGCTCCTCCCCAGTTTATCGGCGAGAGAGCGTGCGGGCACAGGACGCGGAGGGCCCGAAGGGGACTTCTTGTACCGCGGGGAAGAACATAAATAGATCCTTGAAATCCCCTTTGCGTGAAAACACGTCCGTCTTCCACAGGCCTCCCCTTCGTTTCCCTCTGTGCCTTATTGGGGTTAACACCACTTCAAATCCTAGCCCTTCCCGGGAGAGGAAGTACCGCTGCAGGGGTTAGCCACCTGCCAGGAGGTAAACTCATTCTGGCAACCGAAAATTAAACATGTTGAACTGTGAAAACTTAAGCTTAAATGGGAAGGTCCTACAGCTGGAGATTCTTAAATGACTGAAAATAGCCATAGTAAGAGGGAGGAGCGTATAGGGTGATAACAGCCCGAGACTGACCCAGGTGTAGAAATGCCTATTCCGTCTCTGTGGTTTCCCACAAATCAATTGTTTTCAGCTTGGCTCCTGAGACTGAGGTGTCTAGTCTCTGCTTTCTACTGCTTTTCCTGTCTCCTTTCTCCTGGGATCCAAGAGTCTAGCCCTCTGCTCACTTAGCCCTGAGATGTCTTCACGGATGGGGAACTAGGCAGAACCGCTTACGGATGGGTGTTTTTTTGAACCGCTTACGGATGGTGACATTCAGGTTCCAGGCTGTGGTTTTGCCCGTTACTCTGGATTCCAAATGCCAGAGTGATCTTAGATGCTTAGCATGGTAAGTCTAGGCTCTTCATAGCTTATGGTTCTCAGGTATGCTTTCTTTCAATTTCCCAGTTCTAGGCTTCTTTAATAGGCATTTCTAAACGTCTGTCTCTTTTCCATACAGATGGGAGGCTCTGCCTTCTGCCTTCTGGTTCCAGGCTCCTCAGGAGTCAGGACTGATCCCCAAGCAGGAAAGAATAGACAGGTGCCAACGGGAGTGCTGGTGCTGCCTCAGTGCAAGCCAGGCCTGCTGATTTCCCACCAGGTACGCCTCAGGGCTAGGTCCTCCTCCCCACATAGTCCGTAGCAGCTGAGCTGTCTGGGCTGGGGATGTTCCAGGCCTGAACGAGGGCTCCAAATTCTCCAGGCTGTTGAGGCTGCTGCTAGGCAATTCCATGGTTTGGACCTCATTACCAGAACCTGGTAAAGTAGGAGTAGAAGGCAGATTGGTGGTGGGGAAACGCTGAAATCAGATCAGTGGGAATGATGGGAGTGTGGGCTACATAAAGCAGTGAGGGACAGGCAGTGACTCACAGCAACACGGAGGCCTTCTGTGGATTTGAGGCTTGGGGAGGGGCTGCTGCAACAAACACAGCAGGGCCCCATCCAGCTGTTGGAAGATACTGAGCATAAACAGAGTCTGACGAAGATCCTCCGACAGGCCCCATTGCTCCTCTTCCAGCAACTCCCTGACCACTTCAAAGTCTTGTCTGAGCTGCAGCGCTCCCTGCAGGCTGAAGATGGAAGTACATCATGGCCACCTGATCTGTGTCTCCAAACTCCCTTTCCCCAGTTCCATTCATCCCCCTGGCTCTGTCGCCTTTTTTTTTTTTTTCCCCACCTGAACCGGATCCCATGGGTGAGGATATGGTCAAGCCAGGCACCCAGGATGGCTGTCAGTGCCTGTCCAAGGGCAGGGGCTTGGGCTTGGCATGGCAATCCCTGCAGTCCTTGCAACACAGGCTCCAGTACAGTACGGACCACCAACCCTGCATACTCACTAGGAACGCTGGGAAGTTCTGGAGTGAGAGAAGAGAGGACAAGATCCGAGGCTCTAGAGTGAATGCCTAAATGGAGTGTTTGGGAGAAGAGAGTAGGATTTCGGGAGGGGAGGGCACAGAAGATAAGGACAAGGATGAAGTCAGTGGAGTGGAGCCAAGATTTAGAGAGGTAGGAAACATGAGTAACCCTTGGGAACCCCGGAAAGGGAAGCTGGGATAAGGAGTTACCAGGACAGAGACGAAGCCGCCAGTACCGGCCCTGTGGCATGTACAGCTTGAAGCCCTGTGTGGCTTGTTTGTGACATTCTTGAAAAAAGAGACTTAGTGACTCTTCAGGCAGCAGCTGAGGGGATAGGGAGAAAGTAAAAGGCACTTATCTGTTAGGGACTTGTCAAAATATGATGTTCCTCTAAATCTCAGGTGTTCAACCTGGTATCCATAATATCCCAGAACTGGGTAGGCCTAAGCACTCTTTTTTTTTTCTTTTTTAAATTTTTAAAAAGGTTTTGCAGGGGCCGGCAGGTGGCATGGTGGTTAAAGGCACTGGACTCCCACATGGCTGACCATGGTTTGAGTCCCGGACCTGGCAGCTTACTTTTTCACTTTCCCTCCCTCTCTCTTTCTCTCTGTCTCTCTCTGGTTAAATTGAAAAAGTATATAATTATAAATCTAGTTAAATACAATAATAGTTTTTTAAAGAATTATTTTTTTATTTAGCTATTTATTATTATTATTATTTTCCAGTTCAATCAGAGAGAGACGGGGATGGAGGGGTGAGAAAGCAAGCCACCAGGTCCAGGTCTCAAACTGCGGTTGGTCATGTGGGAGTCCAGTGCTTTTAACCACCACACCACCTGCTGGCCCCAGATACAATAATTACTAAAAAAAAAAAAAAAAAAGTTTTTGCCATAGGGCATGTACACTCCAGAGAGTGAAAGTGAGAAATCACCCCCCGGGAGGGGGGGCATACTGCAATCTCTTCTTCCGGATCTTGGACGTGCACACATGCCACCCTGCATGATTTTCAAGCTGCTGGGTTGAAGACTCAAAGTCAGCCATGTGGGAGTCCAGGACTTTAACCAACATGCCAGTGGCTGGCCCCAGCCTGGGCACTTTCTGAAGAGAGACGTCATAGCGTCTATTGAGTTTTTCAAGACCTAGTGACTCCATAATCTGCACCTAAATTATGAATAATTGTCCTAAGATTACCCTGATTTCCCTAACTTGATTCAGGGGGTGGAAAATTCTCAAGGTTAATTTTATTTTGTAGGGACTTTAAATAGGAAAAAATGAGACACACTGGCCACTACCACCGGTGTTCAAAAGCATATGCCAAAGGGCTACATGATCTGCTGATGGGCAGAGGGCTGAGGGAAGAAAGGAAAATTACAATAATTTTCTGGTTTCTAGGAAAGGAAGGCAGAAAGAGTATGTTGACCAAGACTATTAGAATATCTGAGATTCAGGAGCTTTTAAAATGTCCTTACTTCGAATATTCTTCATAGCTCACTTCCGTTTCTCCAGAGCAATATACCCACAAAGCAAGAAGTTTCATTTACTGGTTTCGTTGGTTTCTTTTACTTTGTGCTAGGGTGCATGTGCTCACCAGAAAAGGAGAGAAAGAAAAGGTAGAGGGGGGAGAGTGAGAAATCACCCTCCAGGATAGATGGCCATGCTACAATCCCTTCTCCATTCTCCTTTCTGGATTTTGGGGACACACACACACACACGCGCGCGCGCATGTGCGCGCGCCTGGCGTGTTTTTCAAGCTGTCGGGTCTGGGACTCAAACTGTGCAGTAAGCCATGTGAGATCCAACTGCCTTCACCACTACACCACAGGCTGGCCCACGTTTTGTTTTGGGAGGGACAGAAGACAGCAATAAAAAGGTCTCTGTTCTACATCCTGTTTTAGAGGAGAGGAACCCTAAGAAATAGGATGCATGACAACAGCTCTGTAAAGAAAAGGGAGATGGGCACCAGCAGATGGCCTAATGGTTGCATCACTGGATTCCCACATGGCTGATTGTGGTTCGAGTCCCAGACCCAGAGGCTTGAAACTCACACCAGTTTTATATGTGCAGGCGTGCCCAAAATCCTGAGAGGAGACTGGAAGAGAAGGGACTGTGGTGTGGCCATTTCCTCTGGGGAGTGATTTCTCACTTTCTGTGTCTCTGGAAAGCACATGTACCCTATAGCAAAAATCCCCCCCCTAAAAAAAAAAGAAAAAGAAAAGAAAGAAACAAAGGAAAGAAACAAAGAAAAGAGAGATGCCAGGGAGCCTGAAGAGAGGAAAAACCAGGGACCAGCAGTTAGCGTAATGGCTGTGTCACTGGACTCCCACGTAGTCGACCACAGTTCAAGTCCCAGACCCGGTGGCTTAAAACTCACGCCGGGTGCGTGTGCATGCATGCCCAAGATCCCAAGAGGAGAATGGAGGAGAAGGGATTGTGGCATGGCCATCCCCCCTGGGGGGGGATTGCTCGCTTTCTGGCTCTTTGTCTCTCTCTGTCTGGCAAGCACACATGCCCTATAGCAAAAATCCCCCCCCTAAAAAAAAAGAAAAAGAAAAGAAAGAAACAAAGGAAAGAGACAAAGAAAAGAGAGATGCCAGGGAGCCTGAAGAGAGGAAAAACCTGAGTAGCTAGGCATGAAGTAGAGCCCATGTGGCTCCTGGTGCATCTGATAACAATCTATCTAAATCCAAACTTCTTTTCTCCAGAATCCCCTTCTCCCTTATGTAGGTGGAGGATAGTCCTCTGACCAGTGGACACTTGTTAGGAACCTTTGCATTCACAGCATGAGAGAGCTCACCCCACCCCAGGCCCTTACAGTCCAGCTGGTGTGAAAGCTCATGACACCAGCGTCTTCCTCCTTCCAGTGCTGTGTGCTGGGGCACCTGGAGCAGACACCCTGGAACATTGATCAGGCAGAGGAGCAAGGGACACAGAATGCCTCGCAATGTGGCGTTCATGTGGTGCGCACTTTGTCCCTGTTTTCTTTCGCTCTGTTCTCAGCACGGCTGCCAACGGGTGACCTCTTCTCACATCACATCTCCCCCCTCCCTTCACTCGACCCCTACAGTTAAATCAAACTTCTACCACTGTCCTCACGATTCCTCCTCTGCTCCTACAGTGGCTCTCCATCACTCATGATACAAAGCATTGGGTGTCCTCCACAATTTAAGGGCAACTCGCTACTGTTCCATATTCTACCTGCTGCTCCACCCTCCTGCACACACAAATGCACACCTGCAAAAGGAGCCTCTGTTCTGCTCAGGCCAGCTATTACTCTTTTTTTTTTTTTTTTGAGAGAGAGAGAGAGATTTTTAAAGCACATGCTCTCACTGGAGACACAGAGAGACAGAGAGAGTGAAAAATCAGTCCCAAGGGGGAATGGGCATGCTATAGTCCCTTCTCATTCTCCTCTCAGAATTTTGGGCATGCATACACATGTGCCTGGCATGAGTTTCAAGTCACTGGGTCCAGGACTTGAACATAGTTGGCCATGTGGGAGTCCAGCACCTTATGCCACCAAGGGTAGCAACTCTATTACTGTTCTTTTTTTTTTTTTTTTTTTGAGAGAGATGTTTGTTACAGGGCATGTGCACTCACTGAAGAGACAGAGAAAGATGGAGAGAAAGTGAGAAATCATCCCCTGGGAGGTTGGTCATGCCACAATCCTTTCTCCATTCTCCTCTTGGGATTTTGGGCATGCACCTGGCGTGAGTGTCATGCCACTGGGTCTGAGACTCGAACTGGAGCCAGCCATATGGAAGTCTAGTATCTTAACCACTATATTACTTGCTGGCCCCTTTCTATTACTCTTTAAAAAGATTTATGAACTGCCTATCTTTAGTAATTCCTGCCACTTCTCTGAGGCTGCCTGTCATACCAGCTTAGTCACAGGCCCTACTTAGAGCTTTCTAGAAGCCAAATAGCCACACGGTGACCTTCCTTCCTCAGGGCTCCCACAACCATCACTATCTGCCTTACCTAGGATGGGCCTGCTCTGGGGTATGTTGAGTTTAAGGAGACAGCAGCCAGTTGAGGTGGAAATGCTGAACAGGCAAGTGCAGGTGCTGGATTAGAATGATGGGAACCAGAAGAGCTCAGCTGGACAGGCACAGCACCAAGACGCCATGTGTAACCAGAAATGCAGAGAGAAGGAGCAGAGGGTCAAAGACTAAACTCTAGTCAAGGCCAAGAGGAGAAAATTGAGCAAGATAGAACAGATATCTTCCATAGAAGGATTAGATAATGTGCAAAATAGGGGGAATTACAATAGAAGTATAATAGCTTTATTCATAAGTATAGAAGTAGCCAAGTATGGACAAAAGTTACCACTGTGACCAGAAGTGAGAGGTGGGGCGGGGACAAATATAGTGCTATCTTTTTCATTAGAAGCTCTATAAAGGGCCAGCAAGTGGCATAGTGGTTAAGGTGCTGGACTCCCACATGGCCAACCAAGGTTTGAGTCTCAGAGCTGATGGTTTGCTTTCTCATTTTCCCTCTCTGTGTCTCTCTAGTTAGTGTACATGCCCTATAGCAAACAGAATAATAATAAATAATTTTTAAAAGAATTATTTATTTAAGTTTACTTATTTATTCATTTTTATAGAGGGTTTTTTTGCATGCACTCGCCAGAAAGACAGAGTCAGAGAGACAGAAAGTGAGAAATCACCCCCCAGCGGGGATGGCCACACCACAATCCCTTCTCCTCCGTTCTCCTCTCGGGATCTTGGGTACGCACACACACGCACGCGACTGGCGTGAGTTTAAGCCACTGGGTCCGGGACTCGAACCACGGTCGGCTACAGGGAAGTCCAGTGACATAGCCATTATGCCAACTGCTGGTCCATTATGCCAACTGCTGGTCCTTTATTTATTCATTTTTAATTTTACCAGAGAGAGACAGAGAGAGAAAGTGAGAAAGCAAGCCACCAGGTCCAGGACTTGAAACATGGTCGGTCATGTGGGAGTGTCCAGCGCCTTAACCATCATGCCACCTGCTGGTCCCCAAAATAATTAAAAAAAAAAAAAAACTGTTCTAAGGGCCAGCAGGTGGCGGTGCTAAACTCCCACATGGTACACATGGTAGACCACTGTTTGAGCCTGGACTCGGAAGCTTGAAAACTGGGACCAGCAGGTGGTGTAATGGTTACATTGCTAGACTCCCACATAGTCACCTGCAGCTCAAGTCCCAGTCCGGGCAACTTAAAACTCATGCCATGTGTGCAAAATCCCAAAAGGAAAAGAGAATGGAGGAGAAGGGATTGTGGTGTGGCCAACCTCCTGGGGTTATTTCTTCTCTCGCTTTCTGTCTCTCTCCCTCTCATACACACATCCTATAGCAAAAAAAAAATATATCTCAACCAAAAAAAAAAAAAAAAGAAAGAAAGAAAGAAAAGAAAAGAAAGAAAATCTGGAAGAGAGGGGACTGTGGTGTGGCCATCCCCCCTGGAGAGTGATTTCTCCCTTTTCCTCTCTCTGACAAGCCTACACTGTGTCCTAAGGTAAAAAGGAAAAAAAAAATTGTATTGAAAATTGGTAATAAAAGGTTGTAATAATTTATTCTATTTTTTTCTATAAAATGTATCTCAATGTAACCAATCTTATAGTGAAAACAAGTCTCTATGCGTGTGATCCAACTAATAAGTGAAGGAAGAATGATAGCATTGGACTATCCTTGCGACCTCTAACGGAATAAGGCACTGGGCAGTGATCAGCAGAGTGTTATCGCAGAACGACTGACTATTGCAGAGGAGGGGATATATAGAAGAAACACAATTATTGAGTTGATAATTGATAAAGCCTTGGTGACGGGAATATGGGGGTTCTTCATACTCTCATTTGCATATATTTAAAATTTTCCATAGTAAAAAGTCAAAGAGGGTGGGAACAGGGGCCAGGTAATGGCACAGCAGTAATGCAACTCAACCTACCTGGGAAAGGTCCTGGGATCAAGTCCTGAGACCTCCCTAAACAAGCCAGGCATGCACAATGCCTGTGATCTGGGGCAGGTGACATGGGGGTAGATAGCTGCATGAAGACGTGTTGAGGGTGCCTGACTTTACTCTGTCTCTGTATCTCAAGGACAGAAATAAATGAATATACTTCTTTTAAAAAGAGGGTACAGAGACCAGCAGATGGCATAATGGTTACATTGCTAGACTCCCATGTAGTTGACTGTGGTTCGCATCCCAGACCTGGTGGTTTAAACTCACACCATGTGTGTGTGCCCAAGATCCCAAGAAGAGAATGGAGGAGAAGTTACTGTGGCATGGCCACCCCCTCTGGCTTGGTTTCTGTCTCACTGTCTCTCTGGTGAGCACACAGGCCATATAGCAAAAAAATTTCTCTCAAAAAAAAAAAAAAAAAAAGGGAGGGGGAGCAAAAAAATGAACAGAGCCAAATAAGATCAACTCAGCAGACTCTCAGCAGATTCCAAGTCACTAAGATGTCCCTCTTCCCAAAGTTGGCATGGAACAAGATCTTCAACTGCCCATGTGAGGGCCCCTGCTCTTACCTGGATCTGTGCAGTCAGCTTCTGGATCTCCCGGCTCAGCTGCTGCTCTGCCTCCAGAACGGAGCTTCCCTCTGAGGCCAGGCTAGACAGAGCTTCAGCCTCATGCAGTAATGGCTTTAGGTGGAAACTGGGAGTGAGGGCTTAGCCCCGGCCAAGCTGACACCTCCCCACCACTTCCCAGCCACTCACAGGTAAGTCCTTTTGGATCAGGAGCAGGAAGGAACCTGGAGCCCACGCTGCCAGGTGCTGCTGAGCTCTGCCCAGGAGCCAGAGCAAGGTGGTCTGAAGGGTACAGAGCCCTAGGGCAACAGGTCCAGGACCTGGGGAGGGGAGCAGCAGAGTACTTGAGGGTCATAAAATACCATTAAGGGGAAGCCGACTTCACAACAGAGTGAAGGAACAAAGCGGGCCCTCAGTTGTCCTCCTGTCCCTTCCACGCCCTGTCCCGTATCTCACTTGGAGGCTGACAGAGTGTCAATCCAGACGTGGGTTCCTGAAGGGCATCCAAGAGAGGAGGGAAGAGCTGTTGCAAGAGTTGAGTGGTACAAGAGGACGAGGGAAGGCTGCTCTGACTCCCGAGGGCTGACCCCAAGGCCTGGCAGAAACCTGAAGATGAGAGTATAATCTGACAGGGAAGGGGCAACCAGTTGCTTTTGGCACCCCCCTGCCCCTTTCTTCTCACCTCGGTCCCAGCTCCAGATAGTAGACTGATGACGTAGTCTGTGACACAGAGAAGCCAGCTCCTCCTCACACTCTTGAGGCAACGATGCTAGCAGGAGAAATGATTGTGAGGCCCCACTTCCCACAACCCTGCCCACTCAATGACAGGCAAGAGGGAAGGCTTCTTACAAACTCAAGACTGGGATATTTCAAGACTTTGCCTAGAAAGCCCAGGAACTAGGATCAGCAGGTGGCATAGTGGTTAAGATGCTGGACTTCCACATGGCCAACTGCGGTTTGAGTCCTGGACATGGTGGCTCTCTCTTTCTCTCTCTCTCTCTCTCTCACACACACACACACACACACACACACACACACGTACGTGCCCTGCAGGAAATTAAAACAACAACAAACAAAAACCCCAAAGTCTGGAAACTATAGCCTGAGTCCAGGCTGATGGTATGAGCAAGCTAGGGAGAAAGAAGATATCTCAACCTTCCCACACGCCCACAGGACCCATTACTCACCCTGACCCAGGGCCTGACTCAGCTGCTGTGCCGCTCCCCTGGGATCCCTCCAGGGTCCTAGATTTAGATGCAGACTCTGAGCACAGGCTGCCCACAGCAGGGTCCAATATTGGCTCCACAGGGCTCTAGCCCCTCCAAGGCCCAGTCCACTGTCAGCTGCACCTGCCACGCCCCCCATCAGCCCAGCCCGGCCACGCCCCCCATCAGGCCCAGCAGCCCGGGTAGCAGCTCCCGCTCCTCATGGCACTGCCTGCGGAGCTGCTCCCGCAAGCCGGATCCTCTGAGCGCCTCTTCCAGCCGCTTAGCCGCCTGGCAACCCCGCTCTGCCGCCAGGAGGCGGAGCACACGGGCAGGGGGGAAAGGGCGCGCCGACCCTGGGACCTGGCTCACGGCTTTCCCCTGCAGCCTGTGGTAGGAGGGAAGTGCCAGCAACAGCTCGGCTAGTCGGGAAGACAGATCTGGGCCTGCAGGTGCCCGGCCCAGAGCGCGAAGGTGCATCTCGATGGCAGCATCCAGGCGCTGAGCGGCCAATCCAGTGGGGCGCGCAGCGAGTAGCGGCTCCAGAGTCTCCCGAAGCCCGATTCGCAGAACTGCCCCTCGGGAAGGGAGCAACTGCAGGTCGCGGCACAGATCGGGCAAGCGTCCAGGGCCTTGGGATGGCGTGCCAGGACTTAGGGTCCTCAGAAGGCTCACGGCAGCCTGCAGGTGGCGAGCGTAGTCCCGGGCCAGGAGGAGATGCTCCCGCTCGCGGTGGCGCCGCAGCAAACA